TATATATATATATATATATATATATATATATATATATATATACATACACACACACACATGTAAAGCAATCCTTTTTCAAGGACAAGTGGTAGACTTTATGAAAGACAAAATTAGTTTTCAGCAATTGCAGAGCAAAACAGAACATATACAGACCTTGACTTACAACCACAACTGAGCCCAAATTTTTTGTTGCTAAGCAATACCAGTGGTTGAGTGAATTCTGCTCTATTTTGCAACCTTTCTTGCAACAATTGTCAAGTGAATCACTGCAGTTTTTAAGTTAGCAACACAGTTGTTAAATGAATCTGGCTTTGCTTGCCAGAAGGTCGCAAAAGATGATCACATGTCCCTGGGACACTGCAATATGAGTCAGTTGCCAAGGGCCTGGATTTTGATCATGTGACCATGGGGATGGTGCAACGGTTGTGAAAATTGGCTTCAGTTCTTTTGCAACTTTGAACAATCACTAAATGAACTGTTGTAAGTCAAGGATTACCTGTAATGGCAAAATTTACCTTGGTTCAGGGAGAGCAAATGGTAGGTTTTTTCAGTTCTTCTACCATTATAATAATGTGGAAATCAGTATGGGTTACCCTAGGTCAGCACCTAAAAATCTGACATCCCTCTTCAGCCACATTGATCAAGCCATAATGAACTGACTGGACTGCTGGCTTGAATCAGTGCTCCTCCCATATGGTTCTAAACCAACATTTAGAACAAAGGTCCAGGAGCTAGCTAACTCACTAGAGCCTCACCAGTGGTGGGATTCAATTTTTTTTTACTACTGGTTCTAAGGGTGTGGCTTGGTGGGCATAGCTTGGCTTGGTTTGGTGGGCATGGCAGGGGAAAGATACTGCAAAATCTCCATTCCCTCCTCACTTCAGGGGAAGGATACTGTAAAATCCCCATTTCCTCCCGATCAGCTGGGATTCAGAAGGTAGAGAATAAATGGGGGCAGTTAGAGGTGGTATTTACCGGTTCTCCGAACTATTTAAAATTTCTGCTACCAGTTTTTATTTTATTTATTTTGTAAAATATGAATTAGATAATAGATAAAAGTATAGACATGATTATAGATACATGAAATGAATACGAATACAAGAGAATATTAGGGCAGGGACAGTAGGCATGCTGGTGCATTTATGCATGTCCCTTAAAGACCTCTTAGGAATGTGGTGAGGTCAACAGTAGACAGTCTAAGGTTAAAGTTTTGGGGGGTTGGGAAGAAACCACAGTATCAGATAGAACATTCCAGGCATTGACAAATCTGTTACTGCAATCAGGTTTGGAGCAGTTTACCATAAGTTTGTATCTATTGTAAGCTCATGTGCTGTTGTGGTTGAAGCTGATGTAGTCGTTGACAGGTAGGTTCTCCAGAACTGTCATAACCTGCTGAATACCACCTCTGATCCCCACTAGTGTAAGGAAATAGGGAAACATAACAGGATAGACCAGAAACCAAATTCTAATTGGTATGTGTATTGTACCAGAAAATTCTACAGAAAAGTTCTACAGAATACCTTTCTGTGAACTGTCCGTGTCACTCAAGAAAAAGTGGGATATGCAGGAAGATATCCCAAAACTAACAAGTTGCTTGTTAGAATGGATAAATTGGAAGAAAGTTCATGTTTTGGAATGGAAGTTAATAAACACCACCCTATTTACACTTTTTCTATGCACTTTTGTTAAAGACAGTGTTTCTCCAACTTGGCAACTTTATGATGTGTGGACATCTTAAAGCTGGAGAATTCTGGGTGTTGAAGTCCACACACCTTAATGTTGCAAAGTTTGAGAAGCACTTCTCTAAAGCACTGAAGGAAAAAAATAAGCAAACCTGTAATAAAATAGCTGTTTTATGTTGACTTCTCATCAGATTGTTGATTGACTCAAAAAGTCTCCTCATGGCTTCTTCAAATTCTGTCAGTTCTTTACCTTCATATAGTCTGAAAGGAGAGGGGGGAAAAATACAGAATAGCATTTCAAACTTGAATTTCCATCAAACAATAAATGTATTGAATATTACTATACTAGATGCATGTTGTGCTCTAAACAAAAACAAAAAAACAAAACCCTTCTAGGTCTATCGATGGATCCAGTACTCTCCCCCCCATTTCCTGTTAAAGCTTTTAAACAATAATCCCAAAATCTAGTTAGATTACTGAAAAAAAGCAATTATGTCTGAAAGAGTTAGCAGTAAAAGGAAACCAGGCCACCAAGGAATATGGTGGCTGGACACCATCAAAGCTGACACCAGCCAGAGGATAGAACAACTCAACGAAATAGTGTGAAGGAAGATGTGGAGAGACCTGGCCCATAGAATCATCAAGAGTCAGACACAACTGAAAGGATAGCATCAGCACCACCATCTTCACCATCATCATCCAGTTGAGTCATCTAATGCAATTTCCTGACTGGAACACACTGCTCTTTAAATCAGTGTTTCTCAATCTTAATCAGTGTTTCTGATTCTAAATCAGTGTTTCTCAATCTAGCAAATTTAAGATGTATAAACTTTAACTTCTAGAACTTCTAGCATGCTGAATGAGGAAAGCTGAAAGTTGAAGTCCACACATCTTAAAGGTGACAAGGTTATTGCTCTAAATGTAAGTTGCTATTCATCTCTGACCATCAAACTGATTTTTTTTCTGGCATTATTGAAATAAAGTTAAGTAGGCAAGTATCTGACTCATACTCAAATAGAGGATAGTTTTTAAAAAAATTAATCCCATCTGACAAAACAAATCCCAGGAGGGGATTCTTCTGAGTTGCCTGTCTATCAGTCTCTCCCCATCAATAACAGCATCTTCTGAATAAAACAAGTTTGATAAAATATGGCTTGCTTACTTTAGTATGCAACTTAAGAATACTTTTGTTCTTAATTGGCATATACATAAGGTGAGTTGAAAATTATTGCTTACTTTCCTATTTATACAAATTCCATTTTTTTCTACTCATTCAATTTTTAATGAAGAATTAAATCCTGTAATAAAAGCTTGAATTATTGTTAACTTACTAATGAGCCAATCAGGATCACTCCTATCAAAATCTCTTACATTTGAGAACCCCTCAAAAAAACACATATCCATTATCAGCCCGGGAGGCCAACTTAGAGTAATGTAATATTTATGTACATAATTGTTTTAAACAAATAAATACAAGTGATAATTCCACCCATGATGCATTGGTCAAACCCATTTGGAACACAGTGTCTAGTTTTGGCCACCACAATGCAAGAAAGATGGAAATAATGCAGAAAAGAACAGAGACGGTGAAGGGCTTGGAATTAAATCCTCCAAATAACAGTTATATAAACTGAATAAAGTTAACCTAAAAGGGAAAGAGCTAAGGGAGATTTGGTAGCAGCTCACAGTACTTGAAGAGGAGTTGCAGGAGACAAGGTACAGTTATTATATAGTACATAACTCCTGAAGGTAGGACAAGAATCTATGGAGGTTTTACAGAGAGACATCCATATTCAAACTAAGAAGAAACTTCCTGAATGAGAAAGCTATGGGCCTCCTGGAGTCATGGATGCTTTATCGCTGGAGATTTGTGTGATATGTGTGTGTGTGTGTGTGTGCGCGCGTGCGCGCGCATGCGAACACACACATACACACACACACACACACACACACCCTACATTGAAATGTAGATGTAACATTCTGACAGAACCCAGTGGAAGTATTTTGTCTAAGGCAGTGGTTCCCAACCATTTTTTGGCCATGCCCCACCTAAACATATTTAAAATCCTGATGCCCCCCCTCCCCCAGTGATGTATAATTCTTACTTTACTGAAAAAGTGAATTCTACTCACTTGGAGGAAGCCTAAAAGGCCATTAACATGGTTTAAACAAGGTTCAAAATTTGCCCCATTAAAAATCAAATTGCCCCCAATGGAGCCTGGGCTCCACGTTGCGAACCACTGGACTAAGGGTTATTTAAAACTTAGAATCCAAAGTTATCCAGAGAAGGTAAATTTTTGTATCAAAAATTCCCAGCACAAATCCTACAACTTCAGTGGGTAGTTTGCTTCAATAAATAAGTACTTATTATTTAGGGCATTCTTCCAATAACTAATTAAGGTCTTTTTCATTCTCCTTTAAAGGTAGTAGTAAGGTCACACTGTCCTATGCTTTGTACAGCAAATGTAACAAATTGTACTTTTCTCCTCTCTTCTCTTTCTATTTCTGAGTGCTTTTATTGTTAACCTCACTAAAATTGTTTGTTATTTGAATTAGGCATCATGGATTCTGTTAACCTGGTTAAAAAGCCTTACTTTCAAATTGGCCTGCTTCAAAACCAACCACAGATACTGTAGTAACCACAGTTTCTTCTTTATCCTTATTAGATTTTACCCTGTTAATGTTTTTTATTTAAATTAAATATTCTTTAAACTCTTCTTTATATAATTCATTATTTACACTATTTATCAGCCTTATAGCTCACATTCTAATGTTTTACACACACATACACCAAACAGATTAAAACAAAAATCTATTTTTAAAAAGATTTAAAACATGGCATTTAGGTCAGATTGGGACTAAACCATGTTTGCTCGCCTACAGTCAAAGCTTGTAAACAATAAAGGCATAATACAAATAAAACTATATGCTATCCAGAGTCCTCTGGAGTTGGTGACCAATGCATTTAATAAATAATAAAAGGAGTCATCAATTTTCTTCCTAAACTTCCCATCAATATAATATTTGATCAAAGCATGTAGCATTAATCTGTCCTCTCTATATGTATAGGGAAATTTCTACACTGCCACAAAAAAAGGAATTTCTTAGGTACCTACTATGACTGGATCTCTTGTAGTTTGTTAAATTATTATTTAAGAGGGTCATTCATTTATTTAGTGTAGGAAGTTAAAACCCACCCCTCTCCTAGAAAGTGAAATATTTTAGGAAATATTAAAGGCAGAATATTATATTTCCCTGGATGAGAAATGGAGAAACATGTTTTTATGCAGGAAACAGACTCACTCTTAATAGCTCCCACCTTTGTCAATGGGTCATTAAGATCTGAGCCAGTCTACTCTTTATAACAAAGGTAGGATTAACCCTCTATGCATCTCACCACATGGCATCTGGGAAGAAGCAATGCTCAACCAAACTTGGACTCAAAATACAGCCTACAGAGTTGCCCCTGCATGGCCCTATGGGAGTCTGACAACCAATAAGAATACAAGCTCAAGTTCAAAGCCTAGAAAGAACCTAAAACCAGGGACTTGCAGCATCTCTTCCCT